ATAAGGTAATTTTTACTTACGTTTTTCCGTTCCGAGAGCCTGCGTCACTGTCCTGATAGCACAGAAGAATTTCTGTAACGTTGCACGAACATAACATTGAAACATTGAAACCATCGCAGTAACATTGCGTAATGTTTCTGAGAAGTCTCTGCAAGATTGCGGCAACGTCAAACTGTCCGCTTCGGTCCGCAAGAAACGTTTCTGAAATCTTACGGAAATGTTTATACAATCTTTCTGTGATATTGATGCAATGTGCTCTTTAGTTTCATCTGCAACCTTGCAGAAATGTAAAAAAAATAGTGTTTATATTTGTGAGCAGTTTATTCTTTTTCTCGATTATACGGAATACTGGTATTCGACCAGATTCGATGTTCGTTCCATGTAGTAATTAAACTTGTGCGACTTTTATGTAACAAACAAATTTTTACATTTGCTGTTCGTTTGCTAGGTGTATACACAATTTAAGAAACTTACAATACGTATGCACAGTCACACACAAAGTCGGCCACACTTTTCAAAAACATAAATTTTTCGGCACTGATCGGCATACATGTGGTCTGTTTTCTGTTCCTGCACTAAACTGTACTAGAACTCTCTTTCTCGCTTTCGACAAATATCAAACTGTAGCTGTCGTACATATAATGTAGAGAATCGGATGGAAATAACTGGCAGGCGGATGTACTAAAGAATATTTATTATTCAGTCGCGAGAACGTTACAAAGTAGCCGTTAGGAGTATAACGAAGTAAGTATATATGTAATGTGTAAGGGAAAGTCTGTAGTGATCTTGTGCGCTATAGCGCGCCATCTGCACGCAGCGCGTGTGTATCAATGAGCGAATGAGAGAGTGTAGAGTGTGTCCCTACAAAACATATACCTATTTCATTTCAAGTTCCAAAAGTGTACACTGATTCAGCATAGAAAATAGACCTATGAACACACATGTACGACTTCTTCTTCTTCTGTTTTTTGGCCACCGCAGCCTAGACAGGCTGGTACTGGGCCATTGAGTTCTGCGTAAATTGGGGTAATCGTAAGTGGGAGTGCTATGCACCGGCCACCTTAAACCGGGTGAGTAATGGATGATGCAATAAAAATGGTGAGGCGTCCCTTCAAACACTGGACGCTTGCAGCTACGGCGCTTCCACGCCGCACGGCCGCGCGCCAAGATGGATAAAGGGACTATCGAAATTGAAATACTATGGCACAGTCCAAGCCGGCAACGCTTTTCAAAAATAGTCGAGGTGACACAACACCCGAGACGAGAGGGAACACGTCCGATCCGCTCGAGTGGTCTACCAGAACTACACACATGTACGACGACAAAGTTAAGTACGTTCATCGATCAAAGTATTTCAAAGATGGCTTATACACTTACGTACATGTGATCACAATATGACGCGGCACATCATCCGGATAGCCATTTTCGCGCACAACACGCAGAAATCTCTCAGAAACTTTGCATTTGCAACGTTGAAAGAACTATATATTACAGGAACATTTCAAACGTAAGGTTTCAATTAAAGTGATTGCAGAAACATTGCAATTGTAATATTTCAAAGAAGATAGTCTCAGAAATATTATAAATGTGATGATACACAATTGAGACATTGAAAGGTCCCTACAACATAACTGAAACTTTCTGTGCTATCAGAGTGGTCGTGGCGCGGGAGGCTGCGTCGTTTCTAGCAGCGGGGCGGGTGACTGCATCGCCACTGGTCCAGGCGGCCGCGATCCTGAGGACTGAGCAATGACTTGCTTCAAATTCTCAAGCTCAGCCCTCAGGGCCGCCAATTCTAATTCTTTGTCGTCTGTCATTGAGCTAAAAGAAAATCATGATCATGAAACATAACTTTAGCGTCATAAATGAATATATAAATTTTGTTATAATAAATTATAGAATTTACTTACATGTCGTCTAATTCGGCCATCTTTTTCTTTTTGTTTTTGTTTTTCACGGATCATGAAGCTGGAAACACAATAGACACAGGCAATAGGTACAGCATCAGTGTTGTTAGACGGGACGGATATCTGACGCATGCGCGTCCAATGTAGTTTCAGTAACGTACCGGTCACTAATAAATAGGAGATCATTAATCGCCTATGTAAAATTTTTTCAAAAATGTTGAAAATTTTAATATATTTTACATATTTTACATATGTACACATCCATATAAATATATAAAATATATTTCTATATATGTTTACATATATAAAATATGTAAAATATATTAAAATTTTCAACATTTTTGAAAAAATTTTACATAGGCGACTAATGGTCTCCTATTTATTACCCTGATAGCACAGAAGGATTTCTGTAACGTTGCACGAACATAACATTGAAACATTGAAACCATCGCAGTAACGTTGCGTAATGTTCCTGAGAAGTTTCTGCAAGATTGCAGCAACGTCAAAATGTCCGCTTCGGTCCGCAAGAAACGTTTCTGAAATCTTACGGAAATGTTTATACAATCTTTCAGTGATATTTATGCAATATGTTCTTTAGTTTCATCTGCAACCTTGCAGAAATGTAAAAAAAAATAGTGTTTATATTTGTGAGCAGTTTATTCTTTTTCTCGATTGTACACAATACTGGTATTCGACCAGATTCGATGTTCGTTCCATGTAGCAATTAAACTTGTGCGACTTTTATGTAACAAACAACAATACAAATTTTTACGTTTGCTGTTCGTTCGGAGTTCGTTCGCTAGGTATATACACAGCTTAAGAAACTTACAAAACGAATGCACAGTCAAAGTCGGCCACACTTGTCAAAAATATAAATTTTTCGGCACAAAAAAACTGTTTTCTGTTCCTGCACTAGACTGTACTAGAACTCTCTTTCTCGCTTTCGACAAATATCAAACATATACCTATTTCACTTCAAGTTCCAAAAGTGTATACTGATTCAGCCACAGAAAACAGACCTATGGGCACACATGTACGACGACGAAGTTTACGTACGTTCATCGATCAAAGTACTTCAAAGATGGCCTATACACGTACGTACATGTGATCACAGGATGGCGCGGCACATCATCCGGATAGTTATTTTCGCGCACAACACGCAGAAATCTCTCAGAAACTTTGCATTTGCAAAGAACTATATATTACAGGAACATTTCAAACCTAAGGTTTCAATTAAAGTGATTGCAGAAACATTGCAATTGTAATATTTCAAAGATGATGGTCTCAGAAATATTATAAATGTGATGATACACAATTGAGACATTGAAAGGTCCCTGCAACACAACTGAAACTTTCTGTGCTATCAGGGTAGTGACCGGTACGTTACTGAAGCTACATTGGACGCTCATGCGTCAGAAATCCGTCCCGTCTAACAACACTGCAGGGAATAACGAGCCGTCCAATCAGAGCTTTGGGGTATAAGTTCGATATTATATCTCAAAGCTCTGATCGGACGGCTCGTTATTCCCTGTTGCCTGTGCCTATTTCCTGCGTCTATTGTGTTTCCAGCTTGATGATGATGGCTTCGGCATACCAGCGCGATGTTCGTCGCACACGACACACGATATCCAATGAGAGCATACCTTTAGAATGAGAACATCGGTAAAGCTGTTGAACCGAACAATAGCCATTGCGGTGTTTTTGCTATAGCTTTTGCGACTTCATTATTATTCAACATTAAGCCTGATAAAGTAAAGTTTGAACCTAAATTAATGCGTTCGCATCTGATAAAAATTCTCGAAACAAATGTAATTGAGCATTTTCCTCAAGATTCACAGCATGTTCAGAAAGTATTTCCATTAGCAGTAATAAGAGCAAGAGAAGCTGAAGCTAACCGTAAACGTACGGAGAGTCAATATGAGATGAAAGAACAGAAATTGAGTTAATTAAGAAAATGTGATAATTATTTTACCAAAAAAGAATTTAATAAAATACAAACGCTTCAAAACTTTGACATTACGAAAGAAATACAGTTATCGCTAAATATTTCGGAGAAAATGCAATTAATGCAAAGCATTTCAATGAAAAAACTAGTCAATAATATTCAGCCAAAACAAAATAGTAACAATGAACGTTGTAAAAATCTATATCAAGATTTAGAAAATGATCGTATTATACCGTTAACACAAAGCGCTTCAAAGGAAATTATGGAAGAATTAGTCAATAATACTCAGACTGAAAAAAATAATATACCGTTAACTAAAATCGCTTCAAAGGAAATTATGGAAGAATTAGTCAATAATATTCAGACGGAAGAAAATGACAACAAACTATATCAAGAAAATCTAGATAGAAATCGTTCTAAAAAACGTTACCGATACACACAGGATTTAGAAAATAATCGTGCTAAAAAACGTTATCGATACACACAGGATTTAGAAAATAATCGTGGTGTGTAAAAAACGTCATCGATATGCACATAATTTAGAAAATAATCGTGATTTAAAACGTCGTCGATATGAAGACGACTTAGAAAATAATCGTCCTAAATAACGTCGTCTATATAAAGACAACTTAGAAAATAATCGTGCTAAACAACGTTGTCGATATGAAGACAACTTAGAAAATAATCGTGCTAAAAAACGAATGCGTTATTTGACAAATTTTAACCGAGATAGACAGAAAGTAGTGAGTAGTCGTAAGTGGTTGTACAATAAACGATATTATGAGAAAAGGAAGTCAATATTCAGTCTTGTATGAATGGTAGGTGAACTTCGCGACATTATATCAAGCCGCGAGTTTGACTTTAGTTTACGAAGATGGCGTGCGAGCGCTAGAGTCGACCAGCCGGTGTCTCTGCTGTATCTTTAGTTGAAGTTCAGTTCTGTATTCGAATCAATCAACAACGCAGTTCCTTTTTTTTGTAAGCGAGATCCATGTAATAGTTACGAGCAATAAACAAATCAAACATTTTGGTCCTTCGAGCCCGATCACCGAGATATCACAGAGCACCTCAGTGAGTGAACTAGCATTGGAAAACGAAATTCAGCCTAATAAGGATATTACTAGAAGAACGCGAAACAATCGTTCAACATGGTCGACATTGACAATCTAAGAAAACAGAGAAGTTACATTAAAGGCAAGCTGACCAGGATTGAGCAATCGGTAGCACGCCCTCAGGAACAAGCAACAACGACAATTGACAAGGAGGAAGCAGAGGTTCGCTTGGAACGACTCGAACAGGTAATCAATGAATTTCATACAGTGCAACGACAGATTATCAGTGAGACTGACGAGCCATTGGTATGCGACGTCACGGCGGAAGCTGAATTCGAGGAGAGAAGCTTAGCCGCGAAAGCAATATTACGACGAATCATAAAATCGTCAAGGACCGAGAACAATGAAACAAGGACGACAGAAAGCGATAGCGTACTTGTGCAGTTTTTACAGAAACAGATGACGATGATGGAGAAATACGAGGTGAGCGGAACCGCGCAGGCGCAGGCATCTTCCGTAGTACGACTGGAAGACAACGGCCCATTGGGAACCTTGTTGCAGACACAAACCGAGCTACTACAGCGCCTTACCGATAATTCCGAAGATGGCGTCACTAGTGGAAATCGAGTCAAGTTACCGACCATCAAGTTACCCTCATTTGATGGTAAAATTGAAGAGTGGACGAAATTCGCAGACGTATTTAAGAAAACGATTCACAGTAATCGAGTGTTACCGAACATACAAAAGTTCATTTATTTACGTTCCTGTGTTACGGGAGCGGCCGCACGGGCGATCGAAGACATCGAGCTGTCCGACGACAATTATTCAGTTGCCTGGGAACAACTACAAAAACGATTCGAAGACTCAGGTGCCATAAAGCGGAAACACGTGCAATGTTTGTTTGAAATACCATTGGTCGAGAAAGAGTCCGCCAACGCTATTCTACAGTTGGTCGATCACGTTAACAAACACACTAGAGTGTTGAAGAGATTAGGTTCACCTACTGACTCATGGGGTGATCTACTGCAATATATGGTGGAAAGTAAGCTAGATCGGATAACCCTGCGAGCATGGGAAGAACGAAATAGTATCAAGGCTGCCGAAAACGAAGCTAACGAACAAGAATCCAATTTCGACGTTTTAATGGAATTTTTAATACAACGATGTCATGCGTTAGAACGCATAGATAGTAGCAAGACAAACAGTAATGTTCACCAGAGCAGTTACAAGAATCAAGGTCAACGGTCAAATGTCAAGGGCAATCAACCCAAGAACAACGCAACGGATAACGTCATTAACAAGTTCAATATCTACATGTTACTTATACAGTGAGTCGCACCCTTTATACAACTGTGCTAAATTTCTTTCGATGAGTACAGAGGAGCGTCTTAATGAAGCAAAACGTCTCAAATTGTGTATTAACTGCTTAAGAAACGATTATTTCGTAAGGAATTGCAAACACGGCTCATGTCGAGAATGCACAGGCAGACACAACACCCTGTTGCATCGCACGAAGACACAAGCAACTACGAGCACGGCAACAACGAGCGTAGCAACGGAACCAACGGCCATGGACGAGTCTACAAGGACAACCTGTTATTCGTCAAGCACAGCCCGGCACAACGTACTCATGGCCACAGCAATCGTTGACGCAGTCAACCAGAAAAGATTCAGTTTTCCAATTCGCGTACTGCTAGATAGTGGAAGTGAAGCTAACTTTATTACGCAAAACGTGTGCAATAAATTAGGGTTGAAACGGAATGCAGCTTCAGAGATCGTTGCAGGCGTAAACAATGCAGAATGTCAAGTCCGTCAATTTACTAATGTCATTATAAAGTCGAGACATGCTAAGTTTCAAATTAATACACAATGTTTAGTTATTCCAAAAATAACTCGAGATTTGCCTTCTAAGGAAATAGACAAAGAACTATTGAATATTCCGTCAAATTTGCAATTAGCCGATTTCGAGTTTAACAAACGCAGTTCTATTGACCTGCTCATCGGAGCAGAATTTTTCTTCGAGATATTAGAAAGCGGTAAAATTAAGTTAGACAATAATAAGTTAGTTTTACAGAATACCAAGTTTGGCTGGGTGGTAGCAGGCCCCATTTACAGAAGTGCATGTATCGATACCAAGTCAACAGAAATTGTAAACGCTTTACATTGTACATTGATAGAGGACGAGAGTCTAAACGATACCTTGAAGCAATTTTGGGAGATAGAAAGCTGTACAGACGCCTCTAAGAATACTTGGTCACCCGAGGAGGTAAGATGCGAAAGGTTGTATCAGGACACAACGACGCGAGACAGTCAAGGTCGATTTGTTGTAAGCTTACCATTTAAGTCGAGTAACATGAATATCGGTGAGACACGAAGCGGAGCACTCAAACGATTGTATCAAATCGAGCGACGTTTTAAAAACGACAAGGTATATCACGAGCGTTATATACACTTTATGCGAGAATACTTAGATTTACAACACATGTCATTAGTCGACACGTGCAACATTGATAACGAAAAACAAATTGTATATTTGCCCCATCATGGCGTGATTAAGGAATCAAGTTCGACCACTAAGTTGCGTGTGGTTTTTGACGCGTCTCATAAAGGTAGCTCAGGTAATTCTTTAAATGACAGATTGATAACTGGACCAATTTTGCAGGACAGTTTAATACAGATACTATTACGATTCAGATTTCACAACATAGCAATTATCGGAAACTTAGAGAAAATGTTTAGACAAATATTAGTTCGCGATTGTGATCGAGACTATCAAAGAATTTTATGGAGATTTTCAACAAGCGAGCCAGTTCGAGAGTATAAACTTAACACCGTAACCTATGGCCAGGCTGGCGCGTCGTATCTAGCCATCAGGAGCGTGCGACAGTTAGCCGAGGAAGGTAAAGACACATTTCCTTTAGCTGCAGATTGTATATCAAACGACGTATATGTTGATGACATTGTTAGTGGAGCGCGAGACGTGAATGAAGCCAAGACTTTACAAAACCAGTTAAATGAGCTAATGAACAAAGGATGTTTCAAGATTCACAAGTGGCATTCGAACGTACCAGAGATTTTTCGCAATACGAATAATCACGAAAATACAGCAAGCGTAGATTTAAAATTTAATGATAACATAAAAACTTTGGGTTTAGTCTGGGAGCCTAATACGGACGTTTTCGTATTCACATTAAATTTGTTTAAGGAAGTCCGTACCAAAAGAGAGCTACTATCGGAAATTAGTAAACTATTTGATCCCTTGGGACTTTTAGGTCCAATCATAACATTCGCTAAATTGCTTATGCAGGAGACATGGAAGGAGAAGATCGATTGGGATTCTGAATTACCCGCAACTCTCTTGAATAAATGGAAAAGATTCAAGGACGAATTGACAAATTCGACTATTCTACGTATACCACGTAAGATATCAAGCGAATATATCTCAAACGATTTAATTCTATACGGGTTTTGCGACGCATCTCAAGATGCGTATGGAGCTTGTATCTACGTCAAGGTTTTAGTTAACAATAAACAAACTATACGATTATTATGTTCGAAATCACGCATCGCCCCTATCAAAACAATCTCAATACCACGTTTAGAACTATGTAGTGCAGTATTGTTGGCGCGTTTATTAGAGCAAGTAAAGCAAGCGTGCAAGATTGAGTTTCGTAAAATCTTCGCGTATACGGATTCTTTAACCACCTTGTACTGGATAAAGGGTGATCCATCGCGTTGGAAAACATTCGTTGCTAACCGCGTTTCCGAAATAACCAGTATTCTAACAGCTGAAGCATGGGCACATGTCAAGAGTGAAGATAATCCCGCGGATTTATTGTCAAGAGGAGCATTTTCCAATGCGCTTCAAACTTGCGAGTTGTGGTGGCAAGGTCCTGCATGGATGTCCAATGATTCAGCAAGCTGTCAAACTCAGGACGCTGTCGCGAATGAACATTCGATCGAAACAAACGAAATAAAGACGGAAGAAAGGAAACCTAATTCTTCTTGTCATCATACTATTATACAGGATTGCATCTATCAGAGGCTCTATCATAGAATGTCTGATCTAAACAAAATAGAGCGAGTATTGGCATATTGCCTTCGATTTATTTCCAGATGTAAGCGTATCTCCATGAAACAAGCAGAAGCATTGAGTGTGACTGAAATCGAAGCGGCGAGATCATATTTAATAAGAAATGCACAAGACAAGGCATTTCACGAAGAAATTCTGACTTTGCAGCAATCAAAGTGTGTGAAGTCATCTAGTAAATTACTGACATTGCATCCATTCTTAGACAAAGATGTATTACGTGTGGGTGGTCGATTGAGACACGCACCATTGTCCTATAACCAAAGGCATCCGATTTTATTACCGTCAGATCATATATTGACAAAACTGATAATCAAACGAGAGCATGAACGTCTTTTGCATTCGGGACCACAAGCCCTCCTGGCGGCCGTACGTAGAAAATATTGGCCCCTACGGGGAAGAGATGCCGTGCGAAAAATCTATCATTCGTGTGTGTGGTGTACACGCAAGAGCCCTCACGCATCCCTACAGCTGGGCGACCTTCCAGTTGATCGTGTCACACCTATGCGACCTTTCTTCAATTGCGGTATAGATTTCGCTGGGCCTATTATCACATTGGTAAACAAGGGCCGAGGTCGTAAAACTAACAAAAGTTACATCGCACTATTTATCTGCTTTGCAACCAAAGCTATACATCTTGAAGCTGTCACTGAGTTGAGTACCGAAACCTTTTTGCCACTCTGAGGCGCTTCATCAGCAGACGAGGCTGTCCGCAAAAAATATACAGTGACAACGCGACCAACTTTAAAGGCGCTCAGAGAGAGATTAACGAGGTATATAGATTCCTACAAGGACAAGTCAAGGGACCCGTGCAACACAGTCTAGTAACTCAAGGAATCCAATGGAATTTTATTCCCCCGTATTCTCCTCATATTGGTGGATTATGGGAAGCTGGTGTGAAGTCATGCAAGAATTTGTTAAGGACCGTTTTAGGCAATACGTCCTTCACCTTTGAAGAACTACACACTGCACTTACTCAAGTTGAAGCTTGTCTGAATTCCCGTCCATTATACGCATCATCAAACGATCCAGCGGATTTGGAACCGCTGACGCCAGGGCATTTCCTGATAGGTGGACCGATTACCTATCTTCCTGAAGCTGATCTCAAGGACATAAATATTCATCGACTAAACCGATGGCAAGTGGTACAACGAACATTTCAGGATTTCTGGAAACGGTTGGCGACGGAATACGTCAGCTCCTTACAAGGCCGTACTAAATGGAACAGAACTCAAAGGAATCTCGAAATAGGTGATTTAGTTATTATTCGAGAAGAACACACTCCGCCTTATCAGTGGAAATTAGGTAGGATCGCCGAATTGCATCAAGGTCAGGATAAACTCATTAGGGTTGTGTCCGTCAAAACTATTCGCGGCGTGACCAAGTACCCAGTAAATAAACTATGTAAACTACCCGTCAATAAGGAAGATAAAGATTATTATTAATCTTGGTGGGCGGTATGTATGAATGGTAGGTGAACTTCGCGACATTATATCAAGCCGCGAGTTTGACTTTAATTTACGAAGATGGCGTGCAAGCGCTAGAGTCGATCAGCCGGCGTCTCTGCTGTATCTTTAGTTGAAGTTCAGTTCTGTATTCGAATCAATCAACAACGCAGTTCCTTTTTTTGTAAGCGAGATCCATGTAATAGTTACGAGCAATAAACAAATCAAACAAGTCTTGTAAAACAAAATCGTGATGCCGAAAATATTATTAAAAAATATGAAAAGTTTTGGTCACGAAATTATATAAAATATTATAATCTTGTGGCAATTAAAAATATTTTTAACAAATTAGATATTAAAAATAACGTTGAAAAACAATTGGAAGCCGAAAAAATTGTACGTAGTTGTATGCAAATTCGAGATAAATACAAGTTCGCGATATGTATAAAATATTAGCTTTGCTTAAAAAGAAATCAGAAGCGTGCTTGATTCTTGCTACTGAATGCAAAACAATTGATGAAAAATTAATTGCATTTTGTGGTAAATCGAAACATACAGCTTCGTCTGAAAATTATTTTATCGATGGTACATATCGTAATATTTCTTCTTCACAAGTATTAGCAATGAACATGGAAGGTCAAGTTACAAACGTATTACCTTTGATAGAAGTACAAGCAAAAAAATCATGGTTATGCGACGATAATTTATGCATTTTTATTGATTGTTATGAAAAAATCCTTCAAGCGATAAGTATATGTACTTTTAAGAAAATACCAGAATTGTTACAAAAAATTCATAAATGTACAATAAAATCAAATTTAAATACAAAGTTGGGTCATACGTATATTTGTTACATTGATACAACTCTTTGCAAAGCGATATCTTTACCCATTTATTTATCACCTCATTTTCCAAAGGTTAGATATGTTAAACATTTAATTTATCGACTGACTAATTTATCGACTGAATTTTTATAGAAAGATGTTAGATTTAGAGAAGGCTTTAACGCCTGCTGATTTAGAAACATTAAACAAAATTATTGTGGCAGAACTATAAATATATATAGTAACATATATTTATTTTTTAAAAAATGTTTAATTTTAAACGAATTATAATATTTTCGTAACATTTAAAAATATTGCATACAGAGAAATTATATGAGAAATGTACTTAAACATAATTTAAAATATGTAACTTGAACGTAACTTAAGGGGATCCTAAAGACGTCTGTATTACCGACTAAACACGTATAATTTTTGTATAACGAATACTCTTTTTCTCTTTCACGGATTCGAAAATCCTTTTCCAGGATTGAAGTATACGCATTAATACGTGTTTGTGAAGTGGAGTCTACGCTGAGAATGATCAAAAATTTCGAAATCGCTATATTTTTTACCATTTCTTACAAGGGAACGGTCGGAACTGTCCCTCACCGATTTTAATGCGCTTTGGATAAGTTGTAAAGCATCAAAAAATATTCGACCCATATTTTTTTATAGCGGCTTATCTCAAGGTTTAGGGGG